GAAATGGCTCTGGCTAGGTTACGTATTGGCCATACCCATTTAATTCACGGTCACTTAATGGAGCGCCGCCCTGCTCCTTATTGTCTAAATTGCATTGTTCTTCTTACAGTCGTGCATATCCTTGTTGAATGTCCTTTCTTCCAGGACGAGCGTGTGTCTTGTTTTCCGACCGTCCCCCGCGGTCGCTTGTCCCTTGATAGAATTCTTGGCGACTCAGATACTTTTGATATCGTTAGCCTTATGCGTTTTTGTCCTCGTATTGGCATCCTTGGTGATATTTAGCACCCTCTGATTATCCCGCACATTTGATCGTGCTACATAGCCTTCCCAGTTTGGTGCCTTCTATTGATAATTACTTACTACTACTACTACTACTGAAGCTGATACTACCACTACTACTTCTACTGAAGTTACTACTACTGAAGCTACTACTACTACTATTTCTACTACTGAAGCTGCTACTTCTACTACTAATTAAACTACCACCACTACTACTACTGCTTAAGCTACTACTACAACAACTAAAGCCATATTCCCTCCCCCTTCAAGAACCACTATCACGTCTACTACGACCACATCTTTACTACAACAATTTGCGACACTACATTTCCGCTCCTCCATCCCTCAGCCTCTCTACCACCCAAATGTACGTAATCTGGCCGCTGCGTACGTTAGAGCGCCGTTTTATATAATAGAGTATGCTTGTTATATAATAGATGCAGTGTTTTAAATAACAGGGTGATGCTGCGTGTTATATATTAGGGTGACTCAGGGGTGTAATATAATAGGATGACTCTGGGTGTAGTATAATAGGGTGGTTCTTGGTGTAATATACTCTGGGTGTTTTATAATAAGGTGTGTTTTATAATAAGGTGTGTTTTATAATAAGGTGACTATGGATGTTTTATAATAGTGACATATTGCGTGTTATATAATAAGGGGGCACACTATTATAATAGAGGAAGCTGCGTGTTATGTAATAGGGGCATTGATGCGTATTATACAATAGGGTGTGCGCTGCGTTCTGCGTGTCTCACAATCGACCTACCCACGCAGAGGTACACCTTCCCTATGTGGGTCTGACTCTTTGTTGCCTCAACTCTACAGGGAGAGAGTATGAGAGGGACAGTGGAGGGAGATAGGGATAGATTGCGAGAGGTAAGGAATTAGGGAAGATAGAAGGGAAGTAAGAAAGGGAGGGAATGAGGGAGGTAGGGAGGGATCAAGTTATGTTAGGAGGAAGGAAAGAAGGTAGTGAGGGGGTGAACAGGAGGAAGGGAAGGGAGTGGACGGGAGGGAGGGAGGGAGGGAGGGAAGGGGTGGACGGGAGGAACGTGGTCACATGGACCACAGACTGGTTCAGTGTGGTCCTGATGAGCGTGCAGTTGGTCCTCATCAACACAGGCCAAGTACCTGTTAACCCATTCACCATCCACCTCTTTAAGAATGAAAAAAACCGTTTACATACTATTTAAACCTGTCCTCAGGCCAGGACTTTTTTATTTTCTCTGTCATAGACCAGTGTTACGGCCAGCTTGAGTCAGTAACTGTTTTTTTTCTGTTAAAGTGCCTTATAACCTTTTCTATGATCCTACCCCAAGTCAATAGTAAGGTCTCAAGAACTGGCAGTGGCAATTAAGAACTAGTGCAATGAATTAATAGAGGGGGGATAAACAAGATGCAATTACACCATCATCAATATATTATCACCTTCAATTACACTTTCACCAATATATATTATATATCCAAGTATAATTACACATATTTACACTGTGTTGCTTTTACCCAGGACACTCAATAGATCTGCAGTGTTCATCAAGTCTCGGTGAGTCCACTGTCTTTACATATTTGTCGTTCACGTTCAATGGCAATCACCGGCTAGTTCACCTTCAACATGGGCCAGTCTACACATGTATCATCATGATATCCCAATACCCCACACCTGCTCTCCAGAAACACACTGGCAGAGCACTTCAGCAACACGCTGACAGGGGTCTCAAATAGTCATACACAGGTGTAGCTAACACTCTGCCAGAAGTCTCTAGCAACCAACTAGCTGCACTTCTCAACAGACGAACACTACTGTTGTCTCATAACTCCTCTTGGCCAAATCCCGGGTACATAGCCCACATACAACACTGCATGGATCCAGCAGCTAATACACTGCTAATAACGACGGTGTTCACTTTGTCTTCTCACAAGACCAAGTCAGGAGTCCTGGACTGCCCAAAGTGAACTATCCTCCTCAGCACAATCGCCTCCTCACGTCACTTCTGTGAACATAAACGTCATTAGCTAGACAGATAGTATAGTGAGTGACCTTAGGATAACCCTTTTCCACCGGGGAACTAAAATTGTATATGTATTCACAACCTAGAGGGCGTTAATATCGTTATGCCACCCACCAGAGATCATTATCATCAACCTCACCTCCTGACTGTGATGTGGAACATGAGTCTTTCACCGATGCCACATCACCGCCAACAGATGGCGTTGTCTGCGTCTCGCCGAATACTTGGGATTTGGAGTGCTAGTCCATAGATGGTGCCGAAATCGCCACTCCACACTCCAGAAACGTTTTTTTTTTTTTTTGCAGAGATATTCCTGTGTGGGCCCTAAGCCTCTGGCTGGCCCACTAAGTGATGCTTGTTTCTGTTTTACTTGGGCGGAGTATGAGTATTTATGACTCGTATGGTCGCTTCAGTAAGATTTTGCCATATGTGTTAAACAACTTCTTCTGCTCTGTTGAATCGAAGTTGAAATCTTTATGGGTTTGTAACTGAGCACTGTGTTAGATAATGTTCCAGTGGTCTGTCGGGCATTTTACCACAGTGCTGACATTTCCTCTCATCTTCCAGAACCTGTAAGCCTATTTCCCATGCACATGGGTATCCAAGCCTGATGCGATGTGAGTGTACTTCTGTTGTTCTACTGCTCCCTTTCATCAAACTTAGTGGTTCGTAGTTGGTTGAATTCTTGTACCAACCCGCAGATCCTGATATTGCAACTGCTGTGTCGTGGTCACAGTACATCTTTTGCATTGCTCTGTTTCAAATTACTTTCTTAATCTATGATAGACTCTGTGGTATGTAAATGTCTACATTTCTTCTCTTAGTTGCAAGTTTTGCAGCTTCGTCTGCAATGTCATTTCCTATTATTCCCACATGATTTTGCACCCAGGTGATAAGTACCCGTCGGCCTTGTCGTTTGAGTGTTTGCATTAATGATATGTCATTTGTGATCAGATGGATGTTATCACATATGTGTTCTTGTTGCAATGTTTCAATGGCAGTTCTCGAATCTGTATGTATGATAACATGTTGTCGGTGTTCAGCAAAAGCATGTTCCAAAGCCTTTTGAATGGCTAGCATCTCTGTTTGTAAAAGCAACGGTGTTGATACAGTTCAATCTATCCAACCAGATAGATTGAAATCTTCAAGGAAGGTAACGTCTGGTATTGGGTTTGCCAGATTATCGAGATAATTCTTAAATTTATATACCTGCTCTGTGGATTCATCAACCGGTATATCTACCAGTTTGTTTAATAGAATAATAATAGATTCTTTCTCTTTACTTGGATTCTAAGTTCCTTCAGGGGGCCGGCCGGCCGAGCTGACAGCACGCTGGGCACGTGATCCTGTGGTCCCGGGTTCGATCCCGGACGCCGGCGAGAAAAGATGGGCAGAGTTTCTTTCACCCTATGCCCCTGTTACCTAGCAGTAAATAGGTACCTGGGAGTTAGTCAGCTGTCACGGGCTGCTTCCTGGGGGTGGAGGCCTGGTCGAGGACCGGGCCGCAGGGACACTAAAGCCCCAAAATCAACTCAAGATAACCTCTATTTCCTCATTTGTAAAGTTTAGGAGCACTGAGCATTCACAATCCTCTTCACTATAAAGCCTTCTCCTCAATATGTTTCACTTACCCTATCACATCTCCCGTTTATGTATTATATCCTGGTCTCCAGATCTCACTTTCCATGGAGGCTCCTTTATGGACTTCCGTGAAAGCATCAAAAGGTTTTATTTGTCTATGTGAGGACGCCACATTTAAGACTTGGTTTTTCGCTTCCATTTTGTGTTCTTGTATGTTTTCAATCGTAAACGACGGTACTGTGTTTGGATTATTTTGACTGGGAGGTTTTTCAGTGAGGTCGAGAGAGAGAGAGAGAGAAGATTAAGCCACCCAAAAGGTGGCTTGGGCATGAATAGCCCATAAGTGGTGGCCCTTTTGAGCCATTTCCAGTATCAATAGATGATACTGGAGATCTGTGGAGGTGCGACTGCACCCTGCGTGACGGGAGATGTCTCCCGTAATGTCAGTGATGTCAATTACTGTGCCAGTTTGCTGCCATATAGGAGTACTGCAGTACTACTACTGTTACCAGTAGTTGCAGTAATAGTAGTAGTAGTAGTATGAATTAGTAGTAGTAGTATGAATACCACAACAACCTCAACATTGTTGAGATTGTTGTGGCCTGTGTGAATAATTCATCTCCATCTACTACTACTACCAATCCTGCAACTACCAGTAATGGTAGTATTAGTCTGTACTAGTTGTTGTTGGAGATCTCTTGCTGGGTGCAGTAATATCTGTGACTGTGGAGTAACAATGGCTGGTTCTGCCGGTTCCAGTACCCGTCATTGCCTTTGTTTCACCTTTTGAAACAGGTTCCTTTAATCAGCCAACTAGGGTTAAACTGCCCTGTATTCACACATTAAATTCTACTTAATTTTTGCTCAGCCACCTCCTAACTCTTCACCTTCCCTGTCCGTTAGTCTTCTTGCTTCCCTCACTTTGTGACAACATGATGGTTAATTAGTGAGTTTTGCAGTGCGGTAATTGTCAATGATTATATAAAAAAGTGATGATTCTTACTCCCATTGACACCAATCTCTCGATGGCTTCTCTCCGTGATGAGTCTCATCTCAGTTTTCCATGGACTCGGAGCTCGTATTTATTTAGGCAAAAACCAATATGATTTCTTCCCCTCCTCCACTTACCTTCCGCTCCTCCTCCTTCATATACCTCTCGGGAGAAACTGGTGAGAATGTCTCCGTTACGCCCATCTCCTTCTCTGTGTTAAAACTCTGGACTACGAAGGTCTTCATTCATATCTTTCATATCTATCATTATGTGAAAGGAAGTATTGAACAAATAACTAGCAAGGAGGGAAGGGGTTTGTGTTGACTGTTTAGGGTAGGAAGTGGTGTAGTGGGTTAGGGTAGGTGGGGGTGAAGGGGTGTAGTGGGTTAGGGTAGGTGGGGGTGAAGGGGTGTAGTGGGTTAGGGTAGGAGGGGGTGAAGGGGTGTAGTGGGTTAGGGTAGGTGGGGGTGTAGTGGGTTAGGGTAGGAGGGGGTGAAGGGGTGTAGTGGGTTAGGGTAGGAGGGGGTGAAGGGGTGTAGTGGGTTAGGGTAGGTGGGGGTGTAGTGGGTTAGGGTAGGAGGGGGTGAAGGGGTGTAGTGGGTTAGGGTAGGAGGGGGTGAAGGGGGTGGGTTAGGGTAGGTGGGGGTGTAGTGGGTTAGGGTAGGGGGGTGAAGGGGTGTAGTGGGTTAGGGTAGGTGGGGGTGTAGTGGGTTAGGGTAGGTGGGGGTGAAGGGGTGTAGTGGGTTAGGGTAGGTGGGGGTGTAGTGGGTTAGGGTAGGTGGGGGTGAAGGGGTGTAGTGGGTTAGGGTAGGTGGGGGTGTAGTGGGTTAGGGTAGGAGGGGGTGAAGGGGTGTAGTGGGTAAGGGTAGGAGGGGGTGAAGGGGTGTAGTGGGTTAGGGTAGGAGGGGGTGAAGGGGTGTAGGGTAGGGTAGGAGGGGGTGAAGGGGTGTAGTGGGTTAGGGTAGGTGGGGGTGAAGGGGTGTAGTGGGTTAGGGTAGGAGGGGGTGAAGGGGTGTAGTAGGTTAGGGTAGGAGGGGGTGGGGGTGTAGTGGGTTAGGGTAGGAGGGGGTGAAGGGGTGTAGTGGGTTAGGGTAGGAGGGGGTGGGGTGTAGTGGGTTAGGGTAGGAGGGGGTGAAGGGGTGTAGTGGGTTAGGGTAGGTGGGGGTGTAGTGGGTTAGGGTAGGAGGGGGTGAAGGGGTGTAGTGGGTTAGGGTAGGTGGGGGTGTAGTGGGTTAGGGTAGGTGGGGGTGAAGGGGTGTAGTGGGTTAGGGTAGGTGGGGGTGTAGTGGGTTAGGGTAGGAGGGGGTGAAGGGGTGTAGTGGGTAAGGGTAGGAGGGGGTGAAGGGGTGTAGTGGGTTAGGGTAGGAGGGGGTGAAGGGGTGTAGTTGATTAGGGTAGGAGGGGGTGAAGGGGTGTAGTGGGTTAGGGTAGGTGGGGGTGAAGGGGTGTAGTGGGTAAGGGTAGGAGGGGGTGAAGGGGGTGTAGTGGGTTAGGGTAGGTGGGGGTGAAGGGGTGTAGTGGGTTAGGGTAGGAGGGGGGAAGGGGTGTAGTGGGTTAGGGTAGGAGGGGGTGAAGGGGTGTAGTGGGTTAGGGTAGGAGGGGGTGAAGGGGTGTAGTGGGTTAGGGTAGGAGGGGGTGAAGGGGTGTAGTGGGTTAGGGTAGGAGGGGGTGAAGGGGTGTAGTGGGTTAGGGTAGGAGGGGGTGAAGGGGTGTAGTGGGTTAGGGTGTTGTGAGTATAATGAGTAAGGATTATGTGTCAGGTGTGTGGGATTGTGGGAGTGAGGAGTGGGGGGAGAGAGGGGTGTGATGGGGTGGGTGTTGTGCGAGAGGGGTGTGGGGTGATGGAAGTGGGGAAGGAGGGATGTGGTGTAGTTGGAGTGAGGAGGATGGAGTGTGGTGTGGTGAGTGTGGGGTGGTGAGAGGGGGGAGGAAGGGTGAGGGGGGTGGTAGAAGGGAGAGAAGGGAGTGGGTTGGTTGTACTCACCTAACTGTGCTTTCGAGGATTGAGTTCCGGCTCTTTGGTCCTGCCTCTCAACTGTCAATCAACTAATGTACAGGTTCCTGAGCCTACTGGGCTCTATCATATCTACATTTAAAGCTGTGTATGGAGTCAGCCTCCACCACACCACTGCCTAATGCATTCCATTTGTCTACTACTCTGACACTGAAAAAATTCTTTCTAACATCTCTATGGCTCATTTGGGCACTCAATTTCCACCTGTGTCCCGAAGTGCGCGTGCCCCTTTTGTTAAAAAGCCTGTCTTTATCTTCCCTATCAATTCCTCTGAGAATCTTGTATGTGGTGATCATGTTCCCGCTAACTATTCAATCTCCCAGTGACGTGAGGTTTAATTCCCATAGTCTCTCCTCGAAGCTCATACCCCCTCAGTTCGGGTACTAGTCTGGTGGCAAACCTTTGAACCTTTTCCAGTTTAGTCTAATGCTTGACTAGATATGGACTCCATGCTGGAGCCGCATACTCCATGATTGGTTTGACATATGTGGTATATAATGTTCTGAAAGATTCCTTACATAAGTTTCTAACTTGTGTAAGGTTCTTTCATTCTTATGTTAGCCAACCTGGCATATGCCGCTGATGTTATCCTCTTGATATGAGCTTCAGGGGACAGGTCTGGCGTGATGTCAACCCCCAGGTCTTTCTCCCTTTCTCTGACTCTTGAAGTATGTCATCTCCCAAATAATACCTTGTATCTGGTCTCCTGCTCCCTACACCTATGTTCATTACATTACATTTGCTTGGGTTAAACTCTAACAACCATTTGTTCGACCATTCCTGCAGCTTGTCCAAGTCTTCTTGAAGCCTCAAATTGTCCACCTCTGTCTTAATCCTTCTCATAATTTTGGCGTCGTCAGCAAACATTGAAAGAAATGAGTCTATACCCTCTGGGAAATTATTTACGAATATCAGAAACAGGACGGGTCCGAGTGCAGAGCCCTGTGGGACTCCACTGGTTACTTCACGCCAATCTGAGGTCTCACCCCCTCACTGTAACTCTCTGCTTCCTATTGCTTAGATACACCCTTATCCACTGGAGCGCCTTACCAGTTACTCCTTCCTGTCTCTCCAGCTTATGCATCAGCCTTTTATGGGGAACTGTGTCAAAGGCTTTCCGACAGTCCAAAAAAATGCAGTCCGCCCGTCCTTCTCTTTCTTGTTTAATCTTTGTCACCTGATCGTAGTCTGTTAAGCCTGTAAAGCAAGATTTACCCTCCCTGAACCCATGTTGATGGGTTGTCACGAAGTCCCTTCTCTCCAGATGTGTTACTAGGTTTTTTCTCACGATCTTCTCCATCACCTTGCATGGTATACAAGTTAAGGACACTGGCCTGTAGTTCAGTGCCTCTTGTCTGTCACACTTTTTGTATATTGGGACCACATTAGCCGTCATGCATATTTCTGGTAGGTCCCCCGTTTCCAGTGATCTACTATACACTATGATGAGTGGCAAACAAAATGCTCTTGTATACTCTTTCAATACCCATGGTGAGATTCGGACAGGCCCAACAGCCTTTCTCACGTCCAACTCCAATAGGTGCCTCTTGACCACATCTCTTGTAATTTCAAACCCTTCCAAGTTCGCATGGTTTGCTGCCACCTCTCCTAGCGCCGTGACATCTCCTAATTCAATTGTAAAGACCTCCTGGAGCCTCTTGTTGAGTTCTTCACACGCCTCTTTGTCATTCCCTATGTACTTGTCCTCACCCGTTCTAAGTTTCATCACCTGTTCCTTCATTGTTGTTTTCCTCCTGATGTGACTGTGTAGTAGCTTTGGTTCGGTCATGGCTTTATTAGCTATATCATTTTCATACCTTTTCTCAGCTGCTCTTCTCACACTAACATACTTCAAGGTGTTCTGTTATTACGGAAGTTCTTCCACGCCCTTTTGTTCAGCCCTTTTGCTTTCATACATTCCCTATTAAACCACGGATTCTTCTTTTGCTTCTCGTTTTTTCCTGTCGGGCCAGGATAAACCTGTTTACCGCCTCCTGACAATTTTGGGTGATATAGTTCATTATGTCTCCTATGGACTTAGTTCTGAGTTTTGTGTCCCATGGTATATTCCTTAGGAATTTATTCCTCTCCTCTTAGTTTCCCTTTTGGTACGCCAGCCCTTTATTTCCCAGTTCTTTTTGGAGGGAGATAATCTTAGCTCAACCAGGTACTCAAAGATCAATACACTATGATCACTCATTCCCAAGGGGGTTTCCAAATTGACCTCCCATATATCTGACGCATTTAAGGTAAATATCAGATCAAGCAAGGCTGGTTCATCCTCTCCTCTCATTCTTGTCGGTCCCTTGACGTGTTGACTTAGAAAGTTTCTTGTTGCCACGTCTAGCAGCTTAGCTCTCCATGTGTCTGGTCCTCTATGTGGGTCTCTGTTCTCCCAATCTATCTTCCCGTGGTTGAAGTCTCACATGATTAGTTGTCTGGATCCGTTCCTGCTAGCCACAGAAGCTGCTCTCTCTATTATATTGATGGTGGCCATGTTGTTTCTATCACATTCCTGTCTGGGTCTTCTGTCGTTTGGTGGGGGGTTATATATGACTACTACTATAATTTTCTGTCCTCCAGTTGCTATGGTGCCTGATATGTAGTCACTGACTCCTTCACAGCTCTGATTAACCATCTCTTCAAAACTCCGACCTTTTCTTATCAGCAAAGCTACAGCACCTCCTCCTCTTCCTTCTCTCTCTTTCCTCACTACATAGTAGTCCGATGGAAACACTGCATTTGTTATGGTTTTCGTTAACTTTGTTTCTGTGAGTGCTATTATGCCTGAGTTTTCACCTAGTGCCCATTCTCCGAGTTCACTTGCTTAATTTGTAATCCCATCTATGTTAGTGTACATTGCCTTGAAGCTCACTTTCTTCTGTTTATTTTCTTGTCCCCTTCTTGGTGAGCATTCTGCTGGTGGGGAAAGCTGTTCCCGAGTTGTGAAGATCTGTGAGGTGGTTTGTAGGGTCTCAGAGGACTTTGGTATTGGGTTCAAGGGAAGGGTGGACAGGTAGGGTATGGGGTAAGGAGATAGGGAGGACATGGAGGATATGGGGTGATGGGGTGGGGGGGAGGAGGAATAGGGAGGGTATGGGATGAAGGGGGAGGTGGGACAGGGGGGGAAAGGCGGGAGGGGGGACATGGTAGAAAATGGGGAGGGGTGACAGGGTCGAAATGGGGTGGGGGGGGGGGGAGTGGAGGGTTGGGTTAGCATTTGAGTGGGAG